TCGTGTCCAGGTAGGTTTTCTATAAATATATCTTTTTATCGACCCATCAAGCCGTCCGTCGACTAAGCAATATGTCTAGAGAAGATAAACAATTATCTTCCTCTTAACTCTTTATTATTTCCACATATTTTGATGTGGTTCTGTTCTCTGAGCCAGCTGGATAGTTAATTTGCGAAGCTTTCATCACCCTACTGGGTGACATCTTCAGTGCATACTTCAATTTGAAGTGAGCTTTTCGATTTCTCCACGAGTTTATTAATCATCTCTCCTGGTCGGTGACCTTGGATGTGATTGGTTGTTTTTGTGTGTTTTCACACCATCTAGGTTACTTGTATTGTCACTCATTGTTTCTTTGACTTGAACTTTGACCCTTTGTGTGTGTGAGGTTTCTTTCTTATCGGTTGATAAATTTAGTTCAAGTTCAAGTCAAAGAAACAATGAGTGACAATACAAGCAACCTAGATGGTGTGAAAATACACAAAAACAACCAATCACGTCCAAGGTCACCAGGAGAGATGATTAATAAACTCACTCGTGGAGAAATCTAAAAGCTCACTTCAACAAATTGAAGTATGCACTGAAGATGTCACCTGCCTAGTAGGGTGATGAAAGCTTCGCAAATTAACTCTCCAGCCAGTTCAGAGAACACAACCACATCAAAATCATCCACCTGAGCTACAAATCTTCTCTATCATATTTCCACATATGCATGACATTCCTATGACAAGTCCGTGTGTGTGTGATGGATCAGATTGTTTGAAATGTGTGTTGCACGCAAATCTGCACATTACACACACACACACGATTCAGACAGACAAATCACACTTTTTATTCTTCTCTTGCATGTGTATTTTAGTCAATGATTTACTCATTAATGTCAGATAATTTTTCTTTTATCAAAATTCTAAAATTTTTATCTTTAGCGTATTTTTTTTGTTTCTTTCCTAAAGTCTAACAACTAAGCAGCAGCGGCAGCACCATATTGTTATAATTTTTTATGTCTTGTGGCGTTTATCTTCATTGTTTGTTATAAAACTATCGCTAACAATTGTCAGTGAGATTGAGGGCAAAGTTATACTTTCAACACCAGGAACAACCAATCAGCAAACAACCTTGAAGGGACCAATCACATGAAAGAGGCGTTTATGATAAGTGGAAACGTATATTTATAGAAAAAGGCATAGAAAAAAGCATAAAACGGTTACAAGG